CCCTACTATTGTGTTTTTTTTACACAATATCCAAGACTCATGTATAAAGGTGTTCATGGGTAAGATCGGTTTGGTTTCAGGTCAGGTTCGATATTAATAGCTTATATGCTTGTCTAGACCTAGCAGACTTAAAATTCGAATCTCAAAATTTTTTCAAACCTGACTTAAATTAAAAAAATAAATCCCAAATACACTCATTAAACTTTTTTTATAACAAAAATTTGAAAAAAATGTTATTAAATTAAGTTCAATGAAATTATATTTAATTCACATATATATAAAAATTAAAATATATATTTATATTTATAAAAATTAAAAATAAAAATTATATAAAAGTAACAATTAAGTTTAATAAAATATTTATAATTTTTATACATATGTAAATTAATTTATATATAATTTACATATATATAAAAATAAAAAATTTCTATTTATGTGAATTCAATTGGGCTGGACTTGGGTTTTAAATTTTTTGTCTAAAATTCAATTCAAAATTTAAGTGGATCTAAAAATTATGTCCAAACCATGTTTAACAGGTTTTAATTTTTTATCCAAACCCTTTCAAAACTTGAGCAAACCTTCGAGTTTAGACAGATAACTCGATCCTTGAATAGGTCTACTTATATATATATATATATAAGAGGATCATTTCATATGAAATTTGCACCAAACTCACCTTTTATGTTTTTTTCCCTAGTACTATTTTTTTATGACATTACTCTTTTTTGGGTACAACAATCTCATTGGAGAGATCCCTAAAGAACAAGCTAGTCTCACAAGATTACAATCGTTAAATTTATCAAGAAATTCCTTGGGAGGAAAGATACCTGACCACATTGACAACATAAGTGCAATACCCAAGCCCAAGTTATTATATCAGTGACCCAACCCATAAGTATCATTGGTTAAAAAAAATAAAGGAGAAGAAAATAAAAAGAAAACTTTTGTTGATAATTTTCTCTGATAGAAAAAAAGGGAAACCTTTAAGAAATACTTGAGAAGAAGAATAGAGGAAGAGATAGGGCAAATCAATCTTAGAAATCACTGATTTAGGTAAGATTTTGCTTAAAATTTTTAGAATTTTCATGTTTTATGTAATTTTCTACAAACTCCAACTTATATTTTTATATTTTTTCAATTTCAAAAATATTCCGATAATTTTTTGGTGACAATCCTACAAAATTGTGATACCAATGGAAATGTCTCTTCAAGATCTTTCTAATTGTATGTGTGTTAGTTGAGTAATGTAGGAGAATTTAATGTTTCAAGTTTCTGATTTTTAAGGTTTCTTGCAATTACAAATGCCTAATTTTGAGCCACCAGAATTCCCTACTCCAATGGCCAATTTGGTCAAAAGTTAGGTGCTTTTGATAGTACAAAATGTGAACTTTCTAGTGATATAACTGGTTTGTTCAAATTATTTATAGGCTAAGAGAATCAAAGCCCCAAAATAGGTTTCATGAATAAAAAACCTCAAAAAATATGGACTGTTTGTGATAATTTGTCAAGTTTTAGACTTCAAAACTTAGGCTTCTAAAAATCATTTTTGCCAAAACAAAATTCTAAGCTGTAGTATTACATTTTTTCTTTAAATTAATGCTTTTCTTTGTCACTAGGAACTGTGGTATATTCAAGATTTTGTGGCTCAAATTAAGTCAAATGATCATGGAATGTGAAAATTTTAGAATTTAGAAATTCTCATTTTTAATTATTTTAAAAATTATTTTTAGCCAATATTTGATGTACTTAGTTATAAATTACTTGAATTTTAGTTATATTATTTTTAATGAATTTTTACTTATTTTAATATATTTTTATTGTATTAATTTCATGTTATTGGCATTGTTAAAGAACTATTAAATTATATTTAGATTTATAAAAAAATGATTACTATTAAATGTTAAAAATTAAATATTTGTAAAATTTAAATTCCTACTGATTTTTTTTTGTTTTAATCCTTAATTTCATATTTATACTCAATTTTAGGCATTTTGCTATATTAAAAGAAAATTGTTTTATATACTAAAAAAAATATTTTCAAATAGTTTCGAATTGTCGAAAAGGTTGCCACATAACCCAATTTGCTTAGAATAACATGCGAAAGGTTTACCTTGTTAAATTTATGTTTTTGGGTTAAATTTGATTTTGAATATTTTTTTGAATTATTAGGATATTAAAAGAATTGAGTGATTTACAGCTTAAGTTTTTGGTTTAGTACATCAGGTAAGTGACTTGATATCCCTTTGAATTCAATATATTTAGAGTTGAAATATATAATATATAGTTTTGTTTGTTTATTTTGTAAATCAGGTTGAGTATGCAAAATATATATATGATTTCTTTGTTATGAGTTTGGAATATGGTTTGACATTGTTTTGATTTTCAAATATGATTTCGTAATAATATATTTATATAACTATTGTTTGTTGGGATATGAAATGTTGCTTTGGAATGATTATGGAATTTAATATGTATGGATTATGTTTTGCAAAAATTTATAAATATTGAATTTGTATATTTTAGCTAATCTGAAAATATATTGTGGTTTTTGTCTCATAGTATGACTATGTTCTAACTCTGCCAATAAGGGTTAATTGTTGGCCATGTCGACATGTATTTTGTGATATTGATATTGGTTTCAAACCATGCAACCGATTAAGAATAGTGATTTTTGTTCACCGTGTCATCGGTTGAGAATAGTAGTTTTTGTTCATCGTACCATCAGTGATATGCTTTTATCCCATTGCATTAAAGGGGTTACTATGAATTTTGTTCTATCCTATTGCACTAACGGGTTAATTATGATTGTCAGTGCAACAATTTAGTTGTTTCTGATATATTTTTGTCTCATTGCACTAAAGGAAAAATTATGATTCTAACCTACACTACAAGGGTTAAGGTGATCGTAGTATGTTACGGGAGACTAATAAATTTTATAATTTTGTGATATTTATTTCATTTTGTAATCTGAGAATTTGATTTTGAGAATATGATTTGTGAAAATGTGTTTGAACACAAGATTACCCAAAATATTTTTGAATCACTTAGTTAATGTTTTGGCCTAAATGTTTTGTGACATGCTTAATCCAACTGAGGGGATATCAGTTACTTGCCGAGTCATCGTACTCATTCCTTTATTTTTCTTTACTTTTTCAAATTTCAATGTTTGCGTCATAGGAGACTTAATCTTGACAACTACTTTGATTAGCAAGATTAGAATCTATCTTTAATTTGGTATTACTTTTGAAGTGAGTATTTTATTATTGATTCTAAAAGATTTATTAGTAAGAATTTTAGTATATTCGACTAATTTACAAAGAGTATAATTTTATAGACTTGAGATTCTGTAAAGTATTATTTTAAAGATTATTGAAGATTTTAATTTAGTTAGATATCTGTTGTCTTATACGCTTATAAGATTCGTCTCATAAGTATGCGGCATTATTAAGCTCTAAATCTTCAGGTTTGGAGCGTGACAATGAGGATACTAAAATCTCTTGATTTTGAGGGGAAGAATCCCATCAAGTACCTAACTCCAAACTTTTGACGAGTTCTCTTACATTGGCAATCAACTTTGTGGACCTCCGGTCAGTGTAAACTACAACAGAAAAGTTGTTACAAATGAAGGTGGTAAGGATGAAGAACGTGTGCGTGTTGATTGGGTTAGTAGTGGGAGGTTTTCAGTTCTCCCTGATAACACGAAATATAAATTTTAATTTCTTTATTATAATTCATAAAAATATTATTTTTAAATTAGTTGAACTTGATAATATTAAATTAATTATAAACATCATCACTTATTTACCATTAATTTTACTTTTACTGACCAAAAAAATATATATAGTTTACATTATCATATCTTATTTTAACCATTAATTATTACCATCATCACTTATTTTACATTAATTTTAGCTAAACATATATAGCAAATTTTGATTTAAAAAAAAAGCCTATAGCAAAAAAATAATAAAGAAAAAGAGTTTTACTTCTCTAAATTTTTTGTAAGTTTATTTTTTTCTCAATTTTTATTTTTTATTTATTTTTTCTCTTTTCTAAGACCTAAAGAGTTAATTGCTGGGCCGTGCAACTTACTCCATAGACTTGGTGGACGTGACTCCTTTATCAAGTCTTTTGTTCTTTCTACAATTGTTGAATTTTAATGGACTATAAAATGCTTTTTGTGGAAAATTCAAGTGGGAAATTGGAGGTCACAAGCTTTCTTTGTGTTTCATCAAATCATGGTGGTTAGCCTACTATCAAAAGTTGAAAGCAACGGTCACAAGTTTTCTTCCTCAAGGGTTAGATCAGCTGGCTTATTTGTGCTCCGTGTTCGTTACTTTTTTATGCATTCGTCTTATCATTTACGTGTTTAAGACTTAGCCATGAATTGAGAAAATGATGCTAATGAACGGTGATTAAAATTATATTAAAAATTAATGAAAAAATAATAACTGTGTTAACTATAAAAGATATATTAAAAATTTACAAAATTAAATGTTTAAAGTCATGTACATAAATTATTATAACTTTATTTTTATATAAAACCAGTGTTGTACTTGAATTATCTTTTTCAACAATTTTGCTTAAATTTTAGCTAAAAATATATAGCAAAATTTGATTTAACAAAAAAAGCAATAACTATAGAAAAAAAATAAAGATAAAGAGTATTTAACTTTTTTCTAAAGTTGATGTAATTTTATTTTTTTTCTAAACTTTTCATTTTTTATTTCATTTTTTCCTGTTTTCTAAAACCTAAAGAGTTAATTAGCTGGCCGTGAGACTTGCTCCATAGACTTGGTTGACTTAAAGTTCTTGTCAAGTTCTTTTTATATTCTTTCTACACTTGTCGAATTTATACGTATGATTGCTTTTGAGGAAAATTCAAGCTGGAATTTTAAATTGGAGGCCTTTGAAGAAAATTCCTAGCACTTGATGTGGTGGAAAATATTTTTCTTTAACTTTATATATTCGGTGTTGGTAGCAAGGATCGATATGCAACCATGAGAGCGGTTACAATTTCCTTGTTTGGATTTCTTCTTGCCATCGCAGCCATCGATATTAGCTTTTGTAATGGGAATTCCAATGCGCTTTGCATTGAACGTGAGAGACAAGCCCTTTTGAAGTTCAAGCAAGACCTCATTGATCAATCAAACAGGCTATCTTCTTGGGTTGAAGGTGAGAATTGCTGTGAGTGGCTTGGTGTTTTCTGCAATAACTTGACTGGCCACGTCAAAGAGCTGCACTTGGGGCTTCTTTCAAGAAGTCCTGCTGAAGATGTGCCAGTCGTTGAAAGGGATGCTCATGAGGATAAGCCAATTGCTCTGTGGGATGCTTATTTTCGGTCAGCTGAATGGGATGCTTACTTTCGCTCAAAGCTAGGGGGCAGAGTAAATCCTTCTTTGATCGAGTTGAAATGTCTCAATTTCCTAGACTTAAGCAATAACGACTTTGGAGGTCTGGCAATTCCCGAATTCATTGGTTCGATGAAGAGTTTGACATATCTTAACCTTTCTCGGGCAAATTTTCGAGGAACAATTCCCCATATGCTTGGAAATCTCTCAAATTTGCATTGCCTTGATCTTGGATACAATTCCCTATTTGAAGCTAAAACTCTTCAATGGGTTTCTGGTCTTTCTTCTCTGCAGTATCTTGATTTGAGTTCTGCAGATCTTGGTAAAGCAACTGATTGGCTGCAGGCAACACACAAACTTCCTTCTTTGGTAGAGTTACACTTGTCAGGCTGCAATCTAAATAATGATTCATCTCCAATCAGTGTTAATTACAAATCTCTTGCTGTTCTTGATCTTTCCACAAATACATTGTCTTCGGTGCCTACATGGATATTCAGTCTTCGTAGTCTTGTGTCCATTGATCTTAGCTCCAATGAAGTTGAAGGTGTGATTCCCAATGGTTTTCAAAATATGTCTTCTCTCAAATTTCTTGATCTTAGTAGGAATTCATTCTCTTCTTCATCGACACTCAGCTGGTTGTCTAATTTCAACCAACTTCAATTCCTTGGTCTTAGCAGTGTCGGCCTGCAAGGTAATTTTTCATGTGCCATTAGAAACTTAAGCTCTCTTACTCATCTTGATGTTTCACATAACCAGCTTGAAATTATAGAACCCAAATGTTTGGAGAGTCTTTGTAATCTGAGAGAGATGGATTTGTCAAATAACGGAATTGATCATAAGGTATCAGAAATCATAGAGAGTTTGTCTAGATGTAGTTTGGATCGATTAGAGTCATTAAATATTGAATCTAACAAACTTTCTGGCCATTTACCTGATCAACTCAGCCAATTTAAAAATCTGGCATACCTTTCCCTTTCTGAAAACTCCATTTCTGGTCCCATTCCATTCTCAATAGGGAAGTTGTCATCATTGAAAGTTCTTGATGTTTCGTACAATCAATTAACCGGACCTCTTCCGGTAGGGGAGCTATCATCTTTGAAGTTGCTTGATGTTTCAAACAATCAATTGAATGCAACTCTTCCTCAAAGTTTAGGACAACTTGGGAATTTGGAACATTTAGACGTTAGCAATAATATGTTGGAAGGAAATATATCAGAAATCACTTCTCTAATCTCACAAGATTTGAGAATTTCAGGGCATCTAACAACATGTTAACGTTTAAACAAATCCAAGTTGGATTCCTCCTTTCCACTGTGAAAATATTGAATTAGGTAACTGTCATCTTTGGGTCCGAAATTTCCTCAGTGGCTACAATTCCAAAAGAACTTGTTTCATTTAGATATCTCCCATGCTGAAATTTCAGGTGTCATTCCCACTTGGTTTTGGAACCTTTCGACTCAATTTGAATATCTAAATCTTCCAACAACCAACTAGTGGGGAAGATTTCATATTTTCCTAGGAGTTTGGTTGTTGACTTGAGTTCCAACCTATTCACAGGTCCATTGCTACAGGCACCCTCAGATTTGATGTTTTTTATTTTGTCTAAGAATCTTATTTTCAGGAACACTTTCCAATTTTCTTTGCAATTCCTCAACTAAATTGGAACCTTTGACCATTCTTGACATTGAATCAAATCTTCTATCTGGTGAAATTCCAAATTGTTGGGAAAATTGGCAATTTTTGAAAGTCTTAAATTTGGGAAACAACAATCTAACTGGGAAAATTCCTAGATCCTTGGGATTTTTGCGCCGTGTTCTGTCATTAAACCTTCGTAACAATAACCTACTTGGAGAAGTACCATCTACACTGCAGAATTTGGTTGACATGCTTATTCTTGATCTTAGTGAAAATCAATTGACGGGAAGTATTCCAGCATGGATTGGAGACAACCTCTTAAACCTTGTGGTTCTAAACCTCCGTTCAAATAACTTCCAAGCCTATATTCCTGATCAAATTTGTGCTCATAATTCTCTTCAGTTCTTGGATCTTGGTTATAACAACATTTCAGGAGCAATTCCAAAATGTTTTAGTAACCTAAGTGCCATGGCCATAAAACCCCTCAAGAAACACGTGGGAAACAGTACCTGGTCATTCGAGTCTAATAACCTGTTTCTTTTGGGTGCATTATTGGTGATGAAAGGAAGAGAGGATGATTACAGTACCATACTAGGACTTGTTGTCGGCATAGACCTTTCAGTTAACAGTCTCAGAGGAGAGATCCCCGAAGAACTTGGTAATCTCATAGGACTGCGGTCATTAAATTTGTCAGGGAATCTCCTAACAGGAAAGACACCGGAGAACATTGGCAATATGGAGGTGTTGGAATCTCTTGACTTATCGATGAACCGACTCCATGGTGAAATCCCTTCAAGTTTCTCCAATTTGAATTTCTTGAATCACTTGAACTTTGAATCACTTGAACTTGTCCTACAACAACTTGACAGGACAAATCCCATCAGGCACGCAGCTGCAAAGCTTTGACAGGTTTTCGTCCATTGGCAATCATCTTTGTGGACCTCCAGTCACTAAAAATTGCAGCAGAAATGGCGAAACACCTGATGCTACAAATGGAGGTAGGAGTGGAGGAAAGAAAAGGTCTAATGTGAATTGGCTTTATGTAAGCATAGTACTTGGATTTGTGATGGGGTTTTGGGGGTAGTGGCTCCCCTGGTTTTCGTCAGGTCTTGGAGGTTTGCTTATTATAAAAAACTGGAGCAAATTGGTGATAAGCTATATGTGTTTTGGGCTACTATCGGTATGTAATTATTTGTAATTGAAGCTCATTTCGGTGTGTTTGGTAATGTAATAACTTGATTTGCAAGCTTTTTATATAATCCATGTATTCGGTCTATGGATGTAGTATTCCATGTTATAATTTATTGAAATGAAATAAAATTGTGTGTGTTAATGTATTTGATTCGTAGACCTATGTTCAAGTTTTTATGCAATATGGCTTGAAGGTAAAATTTTTTTATAAATCCTCTAATTTGAAATATTTCTTATACTAGTCTTCGTTATGATTTTGATTTATTGTTCAAAAGTAAAATTTCAAAAACTACAATTTTTTATAAATCCAAAGGAAGTGAAAGCTTTTATTGCAATTATATAGAAATTGGAGAATGTCGGTTTACGAGAAAAAATATATATATAAAAGCTGGCCGAATCTGATCAACCTGATTTTGTCAATTCACTTCACATTACTAACCCATGAATGAATCAAGCAAAATAGTCTTTTTTATCCAAATTTATGTAATTTTGAAAAATTTTAATTGAAATAATAATAAATAAAGAAATATAAAAAGAAAAAAAATTCAAAAAATTAAAAATCAAACGTAAGTCATCATAAAAAAATATAGTTGTATTTTTCTTTTTCTTTTTTCTACAAGTTTTAAAATGTTTATAATTTAAACTAAATTGGAAAAACGTCATAGATTTGAACAAATAATTTATAAATTTGAAAATAAAAAATAAAAGTTCATGTCATAGCAAAAGAGCCAACAACAAAAGCGTAACATGTGAGTTAAAATTATTATTATTTTTTAATTTTGATATATTTATAAGATTCAACAAGTGAGTTAAAATTATTATTATTATTTTATTAAAAATAATTATAAATATATTAAAAACAATGAAAAGTAACTTACCTAAAATAGTGGGATGAAATTCTAGTAATGGATAAAAACATTTAAAATAATGACCAATGTATGTATTAACAATTAGTATAACATCTTATTTTCTATTCAAAAAATTAGTATAACATCAATTATGCTAGTTTAAGAAACTCATTTACGATAAATTTTGACATAATTAATAAAAGAAGGATTATATGAACTAATTATTCAATGAAAAAATATATTTTTTTGTTTTATTAAAATCACACCATAAAATAATATTTTTAAAAATGTATTGATTATTTATTCTATATTATACATTATTATTAGATAGGTAAATTTTTATTTCATCAGCATTCACTTATTAGTGATACTTGAAAAATTAAAATTAACCCCTTTCAATAATATGATTATATCATATAATTTAAATGAAAAGTGTATATATATATAAAGTAATCTTTTTATAAATTCAAAGTCTAGTCTAATTGATTTATATAAATATTTTAAAAAGTACTTTAGATTAGATTAAAATTTAAATTTATGCATCTATAATTCTTTTTTTAATTCTCAAATTATAATCTTTCTTGCATAAAAAATAAAATTATGACAAACTTTAACTATAACCCGACTATATTAATCAAATCATGTTCATCAATATAAGGTAATTAACATTGTAATTGATCACTCTAAGCATAATGATTTACAATTTTAATTAGCTAAAAATATGAGTTATAGGTAGGACATAAAAGCGAAACATCACGGGTGATGTAAGAGAATTTTGACTTGACCTGGCCGTCATGCCCCGACGAGTATTCCTTTTGACTCACCTGTCGATTCTGCGACCAAATAATGATGTTGGACGCTAATAACATCTTCATACAATTTTACTCTCTTTCCATCGTTTCTTTAATTTGTTCCTTCTTCTTTTTTTTTAACATTTTTAAAATAAATATTTGAATAATGTAGCCTTTCCCTCCCTAGCTTGTAATTACTATATATATATATATATATATATCACTAAGCTTCAAATTTCATTTCCCATGACCAAAACCAAAAAGCAAAATCAAAGTGAATTAATTAAAAGATCGAAGAAGAATAATCGTTTCCATTATAAGAATTACTTGATTTTCATGCATGGACTCTTCATTTTTTCATTACCCAAATCTCCAATTGTCTCTTGAATCCTCTTCTTGCTATATTTCTCAAAAAAATTCTCACCAGAATCATTCAATTATCTCCATAACCAAACCCTTCCTTTCAATGGAAATGACTCCCAAGAAATGTTCCTTTGGGAGTCCTAAATCAAGCATAGGAAAACACTTTTGATACCACATCCGTTAATAGTTTTAGAAAGGATCATTAAGTGAAGTTGAATGCAAATGAAGATGAGACAGGAAAGGAGGTTTCGTATAGAGGAGTTAGGAAGAGGCCATGGGGAAAATATGCAGTTGAGATAAGGGATTCCATAAGGAATGGTGTTAGACTTTGGCCTGGAACCTTGGATATAGATGAGGCTACAGCTAGCGTATGATCAAGCTACACTCGCAATGCGAGGTCCGATGGTGATAATCAATTTTCCAATGGATACAGTTTATGATTCACTTCAAGAAATGAACTATGGATTTGAAGAAAGTTGTTCACCTACTTTGACAATTGAGAAAAGGTACTCCATGAAGAGCAAAAGATCAGGGAACATGAAGATCAAGAAAGAAGGAAATGGGGATGGAAATTATCCTGGTGTTTAAGGATTTAGGAGCTGATTATTTGGAGGAGCTTCTAAGTAAATCTGAGAGTGCAACTCCTTATTGGTGAATATTTGAGTCAAACACCAACATTTTTTCTTCCCTTTTTTGTTTCTTCTCCCTTTTCAATTGAGATAGTGGAGGAGGACCAAATTTTTTTTGGATATTGTCTGTGAATTTGTAAATCTTTGAGATGATGTACAATCAAAGTTTAGTGCTATGTATAATTTTCGCCAACAATTATATTACATACTAGTTGAACATTTCTACAAATTTTCGTTCTTCTATATATACATACATATATATTTGATAACAATTTCTTAGTTATTTTGAATTCATGAAGAGTTATCATCTATATTAATCATATATTAGTAGTAGTTTTATTTTCTTTTTTGCTTAAAAAACACTGAAAATAAAGGTCGTTGCGCCAATTTGTATTCTCATTTCTTTTTTTCTTGGTATAAAGAAAATATGTTTTCTAATTTATAAGATTTCTGTCCATATCTCACCATATCCTTATCAGTAAAGCCATTCTATTTTCTTTTCAATTGAGGTTTTTTATTTTCTTTTCGGGAAAGAAGAATATTAACCACTTTTTCCTTGAGCAATATGTGCAATTGCCAAGGCAATTTGGACACAATTTTGAATTAGATGAAGCTCTAATTGAACTATAACCAATTTGGCTGAAGGCTAACCGAATCACTATCATAATTTATAACTAAAACTGTTTTTAATGTGGAAAAGAAATCAATCCCCCTAAATCCAAGCCCATGGATGTGTTGTTACCATCATGAGCTTTTCGATATATAAATTAATCAAAATTGACCAATCATATTATGGTTTTAAATACAGAATTAAACTAGGATCATACTTAATTAATATCATACTACATGTTCGAATATGATACCACTATAATTATTTGTAATTTGACATTAATTGACCTAAATCTGGATTACTTGACTGTGTTAGCCCACAATATAATTGCAAATACTCTGCACTGGGGACAAGGGTTTCGGAATGTCTGGGAAGCCATTGCACCATAAAGGATCAGCATTTCACCGAATCATCCCGAGCTTCATGTGTCAAGGTGGAGATTTCACAAGGGGGAATGGCACTGGTGGAGAATCAATCTATGGCATGAAATTTGCAGATGAGAATTTCAAGCTCAAACATATCGGACCTCGTTGCTTGTCAATGGCCAATGCTGGACCAAACACCAATGGTTCCCAATTCTTTATATGCACTGAGAAGACTCCATGGACTGATGGAAAGCATGTTGTGTTTGGTAAAGTAGTGGATGGATAAGCGTTGTCAAGGAGATGGAAAAAGCTGGCTCAGACAGTGGGGAGAACTTTGCAACCAGTTGTGATCGAAGACTGTGGTCAGCCAAAAGATAATTGGAGAAGCTGGGAATGATGAAGTACTGTATTTTTTTTATGTTTCTACATAGCAATTTGGACTCTATCCACTTTGTTAGTCACTGATAATGTACGTTCCAATAGAAATTCGAGGCATTCCTGAAGGAAAATTTGTTTCAGTGTCATGTTTTATCAGATTATACATTTTTGGTTAGGAGAGGAACTGATCAATTTCATTTATATTATACTTGGATCACAATTTTATTTCCAACACATGATACTTGAATTATACTAGATCACAATTAACAGAACATAGACGAGGACTCTTATTCATGGGTTAAGCGAACTGAATTGGGCAGGCAATGGAGATGGGGGTGGCCTAAAAGGCTAGTAAAGTTGTTGCTGTAGAGGTTTGGGGGGTTGCTGTGGATTAGAATAGCTGAGATGGGTTTTAGAAGGTGGGAAAGGGAGGTGAAGGGAATAAAACAGATGGGTTTTGGTTCAAAAATGAAGAAAAGAAAGGATTTTGGCAATTGGTGATGGGTTTAAGAGAGTATGACGAAACCATGGTGAGGAAGAATAGAGGTAGAAGATATTTGCGCGGAGGCGGGAGAAGAGGAAGACTCTTTTGTTTAGGCCTGTCAAGATTCTAATAATAACCCATTTGCTTGGTGGTATTAAGGCAAAACTCAACTAGCCCAACATTTTTATATTTAATATATATATATATATATATCACCTGGAGTTTTTAAATTATACAAACTGAATTT